CTACTAATGTATCGGCCTCGAAAAAACGGCTATGCTCCTGCAGTATTTAAAATACACCAATCAGGGAGAATCTTTCAACGTGTGGACAATCAATGACGTTGTAACATTTTTAATCCCATGAAGCATTGTGCCAGTAAAAAGATGGCAGCAAGTGAGCGAGGATGGAGACTGAAGCATACGATTCTTTTTAAAAGCAAGAATGCAAAGCAAATATGAAATGTTTTACAGGCAAGATAATACCTTTTTCTCCACATAACCAGTGATATATCATACCTCTAACATCAAATAAAGAATGGCAACATCTTTCAACAATTTCAACAAAGGCAAAACAATTCATCCCCTGATATTTCTCAGGATCCCCCAAAAAAGTAATATTCCATTGTTTAAATTTTGGAATCCCACAATGTTGTTTTTAGATGAAGCTGCAATGTCAAAGCAGACAAAACTGATGACTCGATATTTTCCATCTCATTCCGGATGTCCCTGAAAAGGACACGACAGTCCCCAAAGTCAAAACTTCCGCTGGCTTTGATGATATTTCAATATCAGTCTTTCATGCACCACAGCGGATAGACTGATAAACTTCCTCAACCCCTGCTATTGATCTTTTCCCCTCTAATCGATCCGAGAGAAGATAGCGTCGGTACCATTGTCGCCATGAATCCTAACCAGAGCATTACCAGGAGCAGGAAGCTATCAATCATTACAGAACAGATCGAATCATGAATGCTGATTGGTGGACATGACCCATCAATCATGTTGGTGGGCGGGGCTTATCTTGAAATATGGGATGTCGCGTCACGCCTATGGGAAGCCATTATTCGTGTCTGTCAATCGTGACCTTTTTATGTACTAAAAAGTGCCAACTTTGACCAACTTTGAAAGGTCAGGGTTGTGAAGAGAAAAATATATTCATCATCATAGTCACATTGACATGATGAATCAGAATGTCTCCACAATGTATTGTTCAATCGTTGAATTTTCTCTAAAAATTAGGCAAAAAACTCTTATACTTTCAAAACAATTTCTGTATTATGCATATGCAATGTGTATGTTGGCGTTTGTTGATATGTGTGAAATCACTGCTCAATTTTCCTATTACAAGTTCAGTCCTATGATTATTTCCAAACCAGGACATCTCTCCGGCGGCCAGACAGGAGGCGCTCAGTGTTCTGCAGACGATGACATGAAGTCGTCCCGTTACGTCACCGTGTACAGCACCATACCTGTCGGCACTCTCAAGAGAAAGGCTCAGGTAATTATATTTCACTCCATACCATGGTATGGATGAAATATATTGTTTTAAAGAAGACATATGTAAGTACAAGTTTAAAGTTAGCCTCATTTGGAACAGCGAACAGTTAAAATTGTTGAGAAGAACAATCAATTGTCAATCTGCATTATTGACATCAGAATGCCATAGGTGATTTTTTACAGTCCGCTCAAAGCATA